GAGGGGGTGTATTTTATTTCGAATTCGTTCGTTTGTACAAAGCACGAACTCATTTCAGAAACGTAAGAATACTTTTTCACGATAGAACAGTGCTTTCACAGCAAGCAAACAATATTTCAAGCTCCTTTTCAAAGTGCTCTTTATGCCAGAAAGTGTTACGCTTCACGAGAACGGCGCACAAAGGAGGTTTTACTTCCATAAAAAAATTGAAGAGACGACTTCTCGAACCTTGTCCATCTTCGTCCATTCCGTCCATTCTCTGTAAAGGTCGCGGTATATATATATTTTTTTCCCTTCTCTCTATTTTTGTTATTTTCCTCTCTCTCTCTCTTTCTCGTTGGATTTGTACATGCCTTGTTTCGCCTACCCTGTGGCGAACCCGTGCAAATCTCTTATATACCGAATTCCTAGTTTGCCGCCATACACTGCATATCCACACTTTCCACCTATCTCCTTTCCTCGACGTTTACATTTGCATTTGCGTCCCTTCCTCCCTCTTCTCTTTCGAGCGTGCTCCCTCCCCCCTCGATGCTCGTCCTTTTTCCTTTCCCATTTTTCCACCCCCTTCCCGGTTTCATCTCGCGAATATAAAAAGGGCTGAGCACACGAGTGTTTAGTAACTTTGTCAGCGTTTTTAATCCCGCCCCCTTATCCTCTGCCTTCGCTTGTCCCGCATGCTCCTCTTTGTCTCTCTATTTCTCTCCTACCTTGAATAACCATATATATATACTTACGCCTGCTTTTTCTATTTTTTTCCTATTTTTCCCTTTTTTTTTCAGTTCGTTTCTGGCTTCGAGGCACCCCCTTTTCTCTCTCTCTCTCTCTATGTACTTTGTAAAACCGACCGTTGTACCAATTACGAGTGCTCGCGTTTTCAACCCGCGCCGGATTTAGTAGCTTCATCAATGAAATTGATTCGTTTGGTCCGTTCCCGGTGTCGACACACACATGTCATGTCGCTGACTCAAATGGTAGTTATCGAGCATATGTCCCCACGATTTGCACGCGTACACGGTTTTGCTCTTTTACGTACTTGGAAAGGAAAGTGTCTCGATCTCAATTTGGTGGGGATGTAAATCCATTTTTTTGGAGTGGAGGAGAGGAGATAATTAGCGATCACGTGGCAAGGAATTCTTATTTTAGCTTATGAAATTGTATCTAAAGACATTGGGATGAGAAAATTTTTCGAATATTTGAAATTTCATATGTGCATTTTATGGGAAAAATGTGTAAAATGTTAGATCGATCTATTTCAGATTTCGTTCCCCAATTTTTTTTTTTTGTGATCCATTAAGCAAAATAAATTAATCTTAAATTAATTATCGTAATTGCCACCGTTCAAGTTTCATGAAACGGGAAACAGAAACACTTGTGAAATTTCTTACGTTTCTAGGAAAAATTTCTAGGAAAAGAATTGCGCGTAATCGCAAATTGCCGGTATATCGAAATAAAATACGATCATAAGGGAACGGGAACGTTGATTCCATCCACGATTCCAACTGTTGCAGGGGCAAATATATACCCTACCATCGTCGATTTGCATTGAATTTCGTTGTTTGCTCGCAATTCGAACGCGGATGACACGGGGTTTACAGTGTTTCGAGCGGCCGGTATTTTTCATCCGAGTTTGCATAAAAACGAAAACACAGGGCGCGATACACTATCATATTATTTTCGCGGGTCGTCGACGACGCGGAACCTACTTGAACGTGTAAAGCAAATAAAAGGGGCAACGTTAATTTATCACGTCACGACGAAACGAAAAGTTTTCGGAATAAACCGCGCCACCGATAATCTTCCCCCCCCCCTCCATCCGCGGCTTCTCCCCGCTCCAAAAACAATTAGACCCGCACCTAACGAGATTTTCCACGTCCCGAATGGATAAATTCAATTGTTAAACTCTGGCTCGATCGATAAGGGATATAAGTTCTCTCGAAAGTTTGGACAGTTTTCCACGGTAAACACGTATAACGAGATTGATTAATATTTTCACGTTGCCTCTTTTCGAGATTAATAATCGAGTTGAAAAAACGCAAGATTCAACTTGAAAGCGACTGGAAACGTACGTGGATTTAAATAAATAAAAATCGCTTGCATACGACCACGGCGTAATGATATAACATGGCGAAATTCTCGTGATTAAAATCACACAAAAGTGTGCGCGAAAAAATCGCGAACTCGATTTCCGATTCGTAAAGTCAACCGCGATATAATAAAGCGCCGTGGTGGTGAAAATTGAGATGAAATTCCGAAGATTATCTCGAAAGGAAGGAAGGAAGGAAGGAAGGATTAAACGTCCCCCCGTCCCGTATTTCAATTACCCCCCTTCTCCCCCATCGACGACTTATAAATACACGTCGCTCTAATACCGATCGAATTACTTCGAGCATAAAAAGATTAGAAAGAAAGAAAGAAAGAAAGAAAAAAAGATTCGTATCGTCCTCCCTTTGGAGAGTTTCCAACCAAGTATCGAAAGTCTGGTATAAACTGGCGCGAGCAGCGCGCGTTAACGCTTGGACGGGGTCGTAGGTGGATGGATGGATGGACGGAGAGGGGAGGAGGGGGCCGCAGAATAAACTTAGACATGTTTGCCGAGCAATCAAATATATGAGTGGAAAGTCTCGCAGGCGTTATCGATTGGTTCGTGGCCCGGGTGTGGGAAGAGTGGAGAACAGTGGGATGGAGCGGATGGGTCGCGAAGGGGTCGAGAGCGAGGGCTCGAGACGGAATGGGAACGGGGAGAGAGATCCACGAAACTAGTCTACATCGTCGTCGGTGGAGGGCCAGAGCGGTTTGTCCAGTGTTTGTTGTTCGCCGTTATTCGAAGGGGGGGCAAACATAGTTTTCGAGCCGGCGGGAAGGAAGGAGCCATGGTGGAACATGGACGCGCGCGCGCGCGCGACAGACACCAAGGCGTGTGCGTATTCCAAATGTGTGCGTATGAGTAAAAATTATTATTATTGTTGTTGTTATTTAATTTTAATTGTTGCGTTTGAAGTCAAATTTCGATATTCTAAAGATATTCTTAATTTCTAAAGAAGATTTTTGACTCTCGAATAACGATAGATTCGTCTTGGAATTGTGTAAAAATAAAAGAAAAAAAGACAGGGTTGGAGCAACGAAAATAGCGGGACGTATTTAAATATAAAACAGTGAAATATGAAATTCTGGATCTCGAATATTTCCCTTCGATTCTTTGTTTTCGGGAAAAATGGAAATTCAAGGTGATAGAGTTTTCGAAATTTCTTAATTTAAAAGTAACTTTTAATAATAATACCTGGTCGATTATTACCATAACGAGAAAAGGAGAAAGATCAACGAATAATACAAAGGAACGGAGAAAATGCGAAAATACAAACACGCGAGAGTAGGTGAACTTTCGAGAAATTCGACTCTTTTATTTCCGTCCGCCCCGAAACGGGGGAAGAAAAATCTGAAGAGCGCATTCGAGACTCCCCTCCACCTTCCCTTCTCCTTCTCGAGAGTCGGAGATTTCGCTTGCACAAGAAGGAATAGCGGAATGGGCCGGAACAAGCTTGGAAGCTCGGACAAATTCTTGTGCGACAGGGGTTGAATCGCGAGAAAATCTTATCCACCTACCCCTACGCCTCGGATCGCTTTTATCTCCGATTTCGGGCATTCCTCCTCCCTCCATTCTTGTCGCCAACTCTCCCCCTCCTTTGGAACGGCTTTTATATTATATATATATATACTATATAAAATATATAGGAACGGTTAAATAGCGGAGGATTTTATATCCGATAAAACTGAAACTCGATGCCCCAAGGTATCCTCAGCTGTGCAAACGATTTTATTAATTCATCAAAACGATGTTCCTAGTTTATCTTCCTCGGGTAATATTTTTTTTTTTTCCTCCTCTTCTTCCCCTCCCCCTCGCCACTTCTTCTTTCTTCCTTTTTCGACGGGGAAATATGAGCTGATACCGCGGAGTGGTTTCACGATGAACGGAAACTTTTGCGTGTTTTAATTAAATTTGAAATAATTATAACGTTGCTGGTAATAATTCTTCCAATGATCGAAGTAGTTTGAAAATAGTTGTGCAACGGTTCCGTCTTTCTTCCCGTAAAAAAAAGGAAAGAAAAAGGAAAAAGAATCGATGAAACGATCAATTTGTTTTCTCCTCTTCGAGATAAACTATACGTTTTTATGTATCGATATTGCATAGTCTCGCGACAGAGAGTTATTAAACTTCGATATAGTTTGATAAAATACGAAAAATTTTTGAAATGTAATAATATTTGTCCTTTGCGATCAAAGGAGAATTAAATTTTTCCCTCTCTTGTCAACTACGAGAACGAACACTCGACGATATCTTTTTTTTACATTATCAAAATTTAAATAAATAAAATTTTATACAGTCGCGATACATAAAGATACACGCCATTTTCTTCCTTTGAAAAATTCGAAAAATTCGACCCCGTTTAAAATTATCCTCCGGCGGCGTGACGGATCGCCCCGTATTATTCGACGAACGATCCCGGATCGTGGTAATTTTTCAGGATCGTTTGCTCGCCGTGATACGCACCGTTATTGGTCGAAACGAAAGGAGCGGTTTCTCCGTTCGTGGTAAACATCTTTTATTAAGTGCACGTTGCGCTCCGCTGGCGCGTCAATTTTTCAAAGCACCCTCCAGTTCTTTGTCTTCGCGTCTCCATCTAACTATAACGATAAGCTGAGGGAGAGGGGAGCAAGGGGCGATTAATCGTTCCATCATCGTTAGAGATGGTCTCGACTTTGCGACAATGGCGGAAACGGGGGGGAGAAGGGGCCCTTCTTTTCTTTCGCACGAGATAAAACGATTTTTCGTTTCTTCGTTCCAATCGAACAATTCGTATGAGACAATTTCTCTCGATAAATCGCGACACGATCAAATTAAATATTGATACGCACCCTTTTCCAACGAGAACTTTTCCACATACAAATTTCTCAGCGAATAACCACGATTAACGAAACTTTCCCCTCTCTTTTTCTTTTTCCAGGCTGTGCATTCGTAAAACTTTCATCGCATCAAGAAGCGCTAGCGGCGATCAATACCTTACACGGTAGCCAAACTATGCCGGTAAGTGCACAATGCTGTTTTTGGAGGGGTGAGGGATTCGTCAAAGTCGATTTTGAAATTTCGAAAAATCGGATAAAAATGGATAAAGAAGTTGGAATAATATCAGGGATTCACGTGATGATCGTGGACGAGGAGGGTTGGTCGTCGTAATGACCACCGTGGCTGCAAACACCCCCTGGCTGCAATCTAATGACTGGCCAAACAGAAATCTGCATAACACTTGGAGAAGTGTGGGTCACCTCCTTCTCCGAACCTCCCTCCCCTATCAAACCGCCAAACTTTCTCAGCTTAGGGTCCAGGGAATTCCTAGTTGTAATTGAATTGTCAGTGAATTTCGGCCGGGATTCCACCTGCTGATTGGCGAAAGTTCGGCAAAGCCGCTTGCCGAACTTGACCATACAACATTCCTCCCTCCTCCTTCTCTTCCTCGCGCCATCGTCATTATTATCGTCGTCCACCTTCGGCTGTTCGAAGGTGGTGGTTTCATCGACGTATCGAAGTTTGGCCCACCAGGTTTATTAGGCTTACGGGGGGTGGGCGGGTTTACGGCGGGTCCGTGATTAATGACGAAACGTTGACCGTCGGTGATCGATAGGGGGTAATACAGGGTGAGAAAGTGGATCAGCGACGCGTTGGATCATAGATATTATTGGCATTCTGCGGTTCCATTCCCCTCCCCCGATTCGATACTTAGTTTTAAAAATTTATGGAACATGGTTTTGGATAGAGAAACGAATAAATATATTAGGATATATTTTTCATAGTGTGTTTCGATATATGATCGATTGCACGGATATTCTCGAAAATGATTGAATAGTTTGGTTATAAAATTCTATTTTCCATGTTTCCAGTGGTATTAGATCGATCTCGAGGTAATACATTTCGTGATTTTTAATTATTATATATCGTTTCGAATTGTTCGAATTCGTTCGATGATTTCTTTCTCTTCTCTTTTTCACCTGGAAGCAGTATTATGGTACACTTGATTGATTTTCCAAAGTAATTTTTTTTCAAGAGGACGAGGCTTCCTACAATAAAAAAGTTATCCTATTACGTAGTTGCAGATGAAACGGCTAAATTCTCAATAAAACTTCCAACGTCCAAAGTTTTATTAAAAAACAATATTAATC